TCGATTTCTGGATCTCAGAGCTGAGGAGGGATGGTCCTGAGGAAATCTTGATTTATGTGATTGGGAACAAAGTAGACCTCGAATCGTCCCGTGTTGTCGACCGGGAAGTGGCAGAGGGTTACGCCCAAACCAAAGGAGTGTTTCACTTTCATTCCAGCGCCAAGACTGGCCAGGGTGTCGACGAAATCTTCTACGATATCTGTAAGTATTTCCATTTTTTAACACCTATTCTATGTATTTCCAGACTTAATCACGAGCGATAAAGGGATGCCATTTATCCGAATCGACGGCAAGTAGCTAAAGTTTAAATGCTATTTTCACAACAGTACTCTTGAAAATATGGGGCGCAGTTGATCAATAATTTACATAATTTTATATAAGTGTAATCATTATGATCTCGTCTCGTCTTGTTCTTTCACGTGAAGCAAATTTGGGAAACGACAAGGCAGAGGCGGATTTCCAGAAAACAGGGGAGTCGAAGGAAAGATTAAATGTAGTCCATAAGATAAACCCAAGGGAGGGTCCCTGAGTGTGACCCTTTTTTTAGGGGGGGGGTCTGTCCTTTTCTTGGATCCGCTAGAGCAAAAGGCAATCATTGCCTTCTTCTCATCTTTAGATTTGATTAAGAATCCTAAAAATCTGAATTCTAAAGAACTTAGTTAGTTTTGAAGAAGAACAAAATTACGTCTATAATTTAAAAAAACAAACATTTGCGAATACTAAAAGTTATTACTGCACCATGCTCGAAAGGGATTTAACAAAATTACAACGACTTAGTGATAAGCTTGTTATCAATTAAAGAGAAACTTTAAACCATATGAGGGCATTCTCTAAAAAGTCATTGGTTTTAACCATTCATTATAATAAAATTGTGCATGTTATGCTTTGTTAAAATAATGATTAAATAGAGAGATCATCAACAAGTATTTAAAAATATTCGTTTGAAAACTGTAAGCATTTTTTTGTCTTTCAACAGCCGGTTCAAAATTATCGAATATTTGTTGGGCCCCACAAATATTAGCAATGGTTATATTTATGGATATTTCAGCCGTCTGTGAACTGATTTTGATCAAACAAAGATGATTTTGTCATTTAAATTGTATATGTTCTTTCGAACTCGCCACTCAGTTTTTCATTATCTCACAAAGAAATTGAATCAGTTATGTTCTTGAATATTCCTTTTCATTTCATATCCTCCAAACAGGTCAAATGACAAGATCAATACAAGAAAATAGATGCAAGAATCGTCAGAGTACGGTCGATGTCTCTAACTCTACCAATTCCGATGAAAACAGAGAAGGTGATCGCGGTCGATGTCGATGTCAGAGCAAGTGATCACATCATCAAACATGATCGCAAAGGCTTTCTAAAATCAACGTAAAAGCAATTTCAGTAGCCTTTTACATCGCCTTTTGAAATGCGCGAACCTATTACTTCAACCAAACATGATTCCTATACAGGTAATACAGCAGGATATTGAAATTTCTTTGAGCTAATTAATCTCTTTGCTAACAGCTATTATCAGGCTTTATAAACTCTTTGCCTGCATCAAGAAAAAATCTGATGTCATGGCTTAAGATTTACATGGAATTAAAACGAAAAAATCATTGCTATTATCCGTATATTCATATTAGACTTCCTAAACTGACGTTCTGCGAAATTCTACTCTGGCGACAGTGATGATTGATCCGCGCTAAATATTCTTCACTAACCGAATTCTTAATTTCAAACCAGTCTAACCCTAACCAAAGAATACCCGAATCAATTGCTCCAGAAACATAATATCTTTCAACATTTCTTGCCAATGAACAGTGCGATATAAACTTACTTATAATGAGAGAAAAAAAATGCCCTAATGTTAGGTGAGGGAGAGAGACAGAGAGACAGACAGAGATAGGGGGCAACATTGTTGTTGTTTTTTCATCATCATTTATGAGATTGATCATGAAAGCAATTTGTCTTCTATGATTAAGGAGATGTTTCTCATAAGATGCATATTCAGAACTGTGGTACTGAAATAAAAGTTGCGGTGTATTCAAATCATTTTGGCCTGAAAGGGGTTGAAATTTAGTTAAAATTCGATTAATTTCATTTGACTTTATAAGCTAGAACATGACGCCGTTCAATATTAATGGGTGATTTTAAGTCTGGTATTTGGTATTTGGTATCCAGTATAATATTTATAGCCGACGTATGGGCCGGCCTCCGTCTTGTCATTGCCCTAGAAATGTCAACAAATTGGATGTTCTGAACGGAGGGGGTGGGGTGGGGGGGGGAGGCTACTTTCATATCCCACGTCTAGGGAAAATTCCCCCACCTTTTATTAATATCTAAATACGCCACTTTTAAGATCACTCATAAGGGGGTGAAGGAGGGCGATATTCCGCACTCTACGGAATGCTCTCCCTGCACATTTGAACTTCAAGTCTGTACAAATAGGATATAATGGATACTTCCTGACTAGAGGCTGTCTTATTTTCAAGTAATTTGCTGACAAATTGTATTATGTTTGACGAAATTTAGAATTGTTGACAGTTAGTTTATCATTTCGTTTTTGAAAAAATAAATTATTATATATATTAGCTTATTTATGATTCATTGTCAGAAAAATACTTATTGTATTTTATATTACTACTCGAAAAACATTGTATTTATATAAATGCAGAAGAAAATCAAATCAAATCAAATCAAATACATGACTTTTGTGTGTGTGTGTGTGTGTGTGTGTGTGTGCGTGTGTTTGTGTATGTGTGTGTGCATGTAGGCGCGTTTAATGATTGAGCATCATCCCAATACATACACAGAGAGAGAGAGGAAGGAAACTAGAGAGCTAAAAAGATAGGTGAAGAGAGAGAAAGAGAGAGAAAAAAATATACTGCAACATTAACCAGTTTAGGCCATCTAATGTATTTCAGTTCATTGGAACTTAACGGCAGAACCCCTATCAATTATTTCACTTTAAAGTTCATTGCAATCTATATAGACGGCATCTACCGTTTAATGCAAGGGTTATTAGGCCTTGTAAACCTCGGGGAAGTCTTTAAGTCATTTTCTAATGTATGCACGCATAATAACAATGAATATGTTTTAACATGATTGCTGATGAACTGCCAAATGTATAAAAAGCAAAGTTTTGCTATTATGATTAAGACAAAATAGAGTCAATAGGACAAGAAATGAATACCTTTAATAGTCATATACGAATTACTTAATTAACTCAATGATGGAATCACATTAACCTGTAGTGGGTATTTTTCGGGTAGGTGGTATGTCGGTGAGAATTCAAAAACTAAAGTATGATATTATAATACTCTTTCATTTTATTTTCAAGTCTAGGGTTGGTTGGCTCTAGTTCATTTAAAGGGATAGTTGAGTTCTGTTTTCAGACCGCAAATGCCTTCAAAGTGCATGGTTATTGCTCTTATTCTTATCTATGACATTTCTAGTGCCCTTTTAGGACCTAAAAATTGCTATGAAGGTAATTTTAGACCCCAAAATGTGTGAAATTTAGCCAATACGATCATACCAATTCAACTCTATTTTCAAAAAATACGGTGACCGATAATTAATTGATTAATTAATAATAACAATACATGGGCCGACTGGTTGTGTGTAATATAACCAAAAAGCCAACAAACAAAAACCAACATCGGCATTGGCTGAAATACAACGTAAAAGGCGCTATTTCGTTTTTTTCAACGGCTTTTTCATATTATCGAATATTTGTGGTGGTACACAAATATTATAAATTGTTACATTTATGGATATTCCAGCCGTCTCTGAACTGATTTTGATGAAGCAAAGATGATTTTGTCATTTAACAGAAGTGCTAACGTCGTATTTGCTCCTTGTCTCGGTTATTGGTTCCTATATCAACAGGGCCTTCGCATGAATTTCACCGTGATATCATTCAAGCAACGGGCTGGAGCAGGGCAAGTTGTTTGGAGCTGGTGTGATGACCACGCCATTGTTTAGCACAAAATTGTTTTGAACCAACTACCTTGACAACTTGGCTAATATGATGTCATACTTTGGTACTCTATTGATCGTAGAGTAAAGGTTGGTGTTGAATACATAAACAGGTTTACAAATCTGAAGATACATTTGGAACCTTTCCGCCTTGTAATTTATACCGCTTAGAAGATAATGTTCATATTTCGACCCATCACTGAGTGCGATCATAAACAGTTCGCAGGGTCAATACATGACCTGGGAAGCGGGGGTGCTGGGGGTGCTGCAGCACCCCCGGAATTTTTCCAGGGGTGCATAGCACCCCTTGCAAATTTTTTCGGTATGATATATTTACTGTATATATACGAAATTATAACGTTTCTTTCACAAAATCATATAAAATTCCCCCTTCGAAACGTTTTTTTTATTTTTTTTTTTATATAAAAATAAAGAAATTGTGATAATTGGTGACCAAAAATGACAGACCTTACCCCACCCCAATACCGATCGACCAAATTTTCAAATTATGGAGATTTTTTGCGAAAAAAAAAATGTCCTCTTACCCCCCCCCCCCCCCCGCTTATTCAACGGCTGGCTGAGTCGTTGCGATTTTTCTTTGCGCCCCCCAAAAAAAAAAAAAAAAAAAGTGTACGCTTACACCCCCCCCCCCCCCCCCCCCCCCCCACTGCGACATTTCGGCTGGCTGAGTCGTTGCGATTTTTTTTGGCGTAAAAAAAAAAAAAAAAAAAGTGTACGCTTACCCCCCCCCCCCCCTCCCCCCCCCCCCCCCCGCCCCCCCCCCCCCCGCGTATTAAACGGCTGGCTGAGTCGTTGCGTAAATTTCGCAATATATATATCTCAGCGGCTCCGGTGAAAAAATCGTTCCCAGGACCCTGAGCACCCCCGGTGAAAAAATCGTTCCCAGGGGCCTGGGTCAATATTTATTTGAGGTTTTCGGTGCAGCTTTAGAAATCCCCCAATTTAATTGGACTTTGACTTCAGCGTCTAAAAGAAAATGCTGTCAGTCTCTGGCCCGATCGTCTACGTAATATTATTGTCGCTGAGAATATGCCACAGAAGTCGATCAAAGTGTGCCTTCTTGGCGTAAGTATATTACACTGAAAATCTTTTCGAGAGTGTTTTAGTTGTTCTAATTTGTCAATGAGCCCTTTGGTCAATAGGAATTCGAAGCGCGCTTAATCATTTTCTTTTGCATTTCCTTTATATTGATTGTAATTGAAAGAGTGTAATATAATGAGGTATCTATCTAGGTATTATCTCAGTCAGGCCTATAGGTTAACTTATCAACCTCACAACGTGAATTTCCTACGAATAATAATTATGCCCCACTGACATACGTATGGTAAATGTTTGCTTAATCATTGAAAAGCGCAAAATGTTATTATTCTCGTTAACTCCCATGACGTTGGCCTGTACAACACAACGGAATAACGCCTTTTCATGGTCCAACGTATAATCTGCGTTGAAAATATGTTACGTGCCCATGTCTGTGCGAGGTTTGGGTAACAAAAGGGGACTTCCCCATGTCGGCGGAGTAACCGCTGTCCTGTCCTGAATTGTTATATCGAATAGACAGTGTGTGTGTGTGAGGGGGGGGGGGGAGGGGGGATGTTTCACAAATACTAAAACTTCAAGTTGGACTTAACTTTGGCAGGCCGTTCATGCCACTAGTTCCTTTTACCATTCCTGGCATTGGTTTTTCAAGGGACGTACAAATCATTGTCACAAATCTACAAAATTTGCATTGTTGATAGTTCATTATAATTGAAGGACAAAATATTATCTAAAGATCATAATTGAGAGACCAATGGTAAGAGCAACAAGTGGCATGAATGGAATGTCATAGTTAAGTCCAACTTAAAGTCGATCTTAGTCTTTTTGAAACCCCCCCCCCCACCTGATCAGGCATGCGTGGGTTCTAAACTATAACAATGGGATGCGTAACACTCCACTTGGCTTTCAAGTTCCTTGCTCCGAGGCGCTCTTCATCTGCGGGGAATCTCGGAGGCCAGGCATAGTTTCACATTTAAAATACCGGCAAAATGTCAGTGTAAATTATAAAATTTGTTTGGGGATTGTATTGGGAATAGTGCATCGAACAATTTGTAATGAATACCATGTACTGTAGACATTATGATCGATCTCTGCACCCCTCCCTCTCTCTCTCTCTCTCTCTCTCTTTATCTCTCTTAAAGACGCCTATACTGCCGTTTCGCTCCACAATTCCCTTTCTCAAGATTCTTGGAGCCCTACTCTTCCTTACCACAATCATGATGATGATGTGTGTTTACTTTCATGTCATTTATTATAGACTACCTGCGTAGGGAAAACCAGTATAACTACACGATTCGTCAAAGGAAAGTTTGATGAGAACTGCGTCAGCACTATCGGGTAAGCTTCTACCCTCTTGACCACTTTCTCAATACAATACCGCTAATTTATCATTATACAATGTATCATATTACAACAATTTCTTACGACATGAGCCTGGTCAAAATATAAATGTAAACGTCTGTTCAACGAGAATTTCGTTGATGCACATGTCTGCACCTAATGGTGCTTTAAACATTGGTTGAATGGCCAATATGATTTAAAGCATAACCTTCATTCTCAATAAGGTCTTCCTTGGCTTTATTGAAATTATAGGAATGTCTTTATGAAACTAGTTACTAGAAGGAAGTAATTCTAGAACAGTAATATGAATAACAAAATCCGACTCGTACCATTCTGGATATAAAAAGATGCGAGACGTTTCTCTCGAGTCTTAGGCTAACAAATATCATAGGGTTTTCACAAGCTTGTTATAATGTATACACTAATTTTTCGTTTCATAACTATCAAAAGAATGTGTCTTTTACATCTTTGTTTTCAAGGATAAGACTATCATTTCATTCATAAATCTTTTAATTATGCATACAATACGCTCTATTTTCTTCTTATGCATATGAAATTAGTCTAGTTCTTACTGAAACTAGCATTCGCTATTGAGCTATTGTTGGGTAGTTGGCATGTTGTTTTGGTCATAAAACTTTTCTGACTTACTCTCCCTCTCCCTCTCTCTTTTTCTGTCTCTCTCATTCCCTGTCTCTATTTCTTCTTCTCTCTATATATTTATTCTCTCTCCCCCCTCTCTCTCTCCCTCTTACTCCGATCTCCCCCTCTGCGTCTCACTCTCATCTCTCTTTCTCTCTCTCTCTCTCTCCTCTTTTCAACTTCCTCTTCCTCCCCTCTCGTCATCTCTCTCTCTTTCCCTCTCCCATCATAGCGCCGCCTTCTTGTCAAGATTACTCTACTTTCAGAACATCGAATATAGTTTTGCATTATGGGATACGGCGGGGCAAGAGCAGGTAACTATGATTTTCTCTTGAAGATTTATTGAGGAGAAGGAGGATTTTGTGTGTCAGCGTTATTGAAACTTATAGGTGTAAAATCGTTTATCTAATTTATCAAATTTTGTTGTTCACTAAATAAATGACATTCTGTTCCATAACAGCAAACATTAAAGAAATCATCCCTATTTCTTATTGCGGTGTCCATTATTCCCTAAATATATGGCATAATTCCTATTTAACTTTGGAATTACTAAGAATTAGAGTTATTATATGTGGTGGTGGTTATTTTACCTAACTGCTAAGAAAGCATAAATGCTTGTAAGTAAGCAACCAGTGGACCGACGGATGTAGGTTCTCTCCGAGGGATCTGGTAATGAGGATTAATGCCCTACCCAAAGGGCACTGGCGCAACGACTTTGTTTCGAACCCAGTTCACCGGATTACGAGACCACTGCTCTATACTTCTACTTCTACTTCTACGACGATACTCAGCAGGATCCATAAGTCAGGATGTATAATGCTGAGGAATAAACTATCTAGTTCTTGGTCTAGATGCTGGGTGGAAGCGCTCCCTTTAAGCCCTCCAGTGAAGTAGCGTGTCAAGAGTGATCTTTGAAAGTGCATTCCACGCAGTTACTGTCCGAGGGAAAAATGAGTTCTGGTAGAGCTGGGTGCGGGATGGGATAGCCAGCAACTTCTTTGAGTGATACTGTCGTGTGTTGCTGGCAATCATGGTGCTGTGACTGTGTAATGGTGTGCATTGGTGGCTACTGTGTTGTTTTGGATCTTGTACATGAGGTGGAGGCTTGCAGCATTTCTTCTCCTCTCCAGGCTCTCCCATTTCAGATGTTGAATCATGGCCGAGACACTGGCAATGCAACGATATCTCTGGAGGGTGAATCTTGCTGCTCGCCTTTGTACTGCCTCGATTTTGATATTATGCTTGTTTGTGTGAGGGTTCCAGACCGAGCAACAGTATTCCAGATGAGGTCTAACAAGAGAGAAGTAGGCTTGTTGGCGGATCTTTTGTGAGGTTTTGCGGAGATTTCTGCTGACTAGTCCCAGCATCCGATTGGCTCGGGATGTGATGCTGTTCATGTGGCCTTGCCAGGACAAGTTGGATGAGAAAGTCAGTCCTAGATACCGGAGATCTGTTACCAACGCAAGAGGAGTGTCTCCTAGCGTGTATGTCGTGGTGATGGCTTTTCGACGTAGGGAGAATGTGATGTGGTAGCATTTCTCGGTGTTGAATTTCATCTGCCATGTGTTAGCCCATGAATGCAGCCTGTTGAGATCTTGTTGTAGGGCTTGGCTATCAGTGGCATCAGTGATCGGACGGTATAGAAGACAATCATCAGCAAAGAGTCGGATTTTGGAAGAGATCCCATCTACTATGTCATTGATGAAGGATATAAACAGAAGTGGGCCGAGAACTGTGCCCTGCGGTACCCCAGAGGTGACTGGAACCCATTCAGATGACTCTCCATCTACAACAACACGTTGTACCAACTGAGCTATCGCGCTTTCGTATCAATAGGCAGCCATTTTGATGACAAACGAGTATAATGTGTATCTAAATGTCATAATATATCTACATGACATAATTCTTATTGATTCACGAATAGCAGGAAATATAATAGTGAGCTAAAATGAAGACTATTGGCAATTTGCCAATACCAACAACGTTTTATTTTATGTTAACTTGATAAAACACAGGAAAGAAAACAATTGTAAGTCGAGTATTTGGTCATTTGGTGTCATGTTCATTACACATCAACATTTCATAAAATTATACTTCATGTTTTGTCTCATCGAAGTTAAAGTATAGGCTACTAGCGTAATTGAATTGAATTTAACTTACCATAACTTAAAATGTCTCATTTAAGTTAAAGTATAAGCTATTAGCGTAATTGAATTGAATTTAACTTACCATAAATTAAAATGATTCAACCTAAGTTAACTTATCTTCACTTAATTTTACTTAGGCTAACCATTATTATTTCATTTCAATTCAATTATTTCCACAATAACAGCAAATGAAATTTACAAAGCTTTTCGTTTTATAAAGTCATTCCAATTAAAATATTTACAAACGAAAAATATACATAGGGTACTTGCAATGCAGTAAAAAAATATTCAATTGAGACTAATTGCTTGCTGTATTGCGGAGGAAACCTAGGAAAGCAGGGCTTGTAATTTAGGTTCCCTAGCATAAAATATCATAGAAACATAAAGTAGAAAATGCAAGGAAAAGAAAAGACGGGGAAAACTGGACAATACAAAACAAGAAAGTTTGCATTCTGCAGCTATATCATGAACTAAAGGCATCATGATTAGCATCATCTGTTTATTTGTCTCATACAGTTTCGTTCACTGGCCCCTCTGACGTATAGGTCTGCAGCCGCCGCACTCATCGTTTATGACATCACAAATCAGGTAAGGGAATACAGATTTTTCTCTTAGGGTGACTGACGCTAAGCGGTATCCCACCGGGGAGGAAAAATGTTGCCCCGCCGATCCATACAAAAATGTTTCGATCGTTTTACTCTTTTTTTTCTTCTTCTTCTTCGTGTTTTTAAAAATTTCTTTTGATGAAAATCGACATTCTTGTGCGGTGTGAGGGGTAAGACTTTTTTATGCAAACACTGCATAAATATAAACGCAATATCGCATTGGGGAGGAGGGGCAACTGCCCAAATAAAATTGGGGCAAATGTAAACAGATTATTTATTTCTTCCTCTTAAAAAATAGGATTCCTTTGATGAGGTGGATTTCTGGATCTCAGAGCTGAGAAAAATGGGTCCTGAGGAAATCTTGATTTATGTGATTGGGAACAAAGTAGACCTTGAATCATACCGTGTTGTCGACCGTAAAGTGGCAGAGAGTTACGCCCAAACCAAAGGAGTGTTTCACTTTCATTCCAGCGCCAAGACTGGTCAGGGTGTCGACGAAATCTTCTATCATATCTGTAAGTATTCCCATTTTTTTATCGCCTATTCTATGTATTTCCAGACTTATTCCCCGAGCGATAAAGGGATGCCATTTATCCGAATCGACGGCAAGTAACTAAAGTTTGCATGCTATTTTCACAACAGTACTCTTGAAAACATGGGGCGCAGTTGATTAATAATTTACATAATTTTACATAAGTCTAATCATTATGATCTCGTCTCATCTCGTTCTTTCACGTGAAGCAAATTTGGGAAACGACAAGGCAGAAGCGGATTTCCAGAAAACAGGGGAGTGGAAGGAAAAATTAAATGTAGTCAGGGAGGGTCACTGAGAGACCCTTTTTAGGGGGGGGGGGGTTCTGTCCTTTCCTGGATCCGCTAAAGCAAAAAGCAAATCCTAAAAATCTAAATTCTAAAGAACTTAGTTAGTTTTGAAGAAGAACAAAATTACGTCTATAATTAAAAAAAAAACATTTGCGAATACTAAAAGTTATTACTGCACCATGCTTGAAATGGATTTAACTAAATTACAACGACTAAGTGATAAGCCTGTTATCAATTAAAGAGAAACTTTAAACCACATGAGGGCATTCTCTAAAAAGTCATTGGTTTTAACCATTCATTATAATAAAATTGTGCATGTTATGCTTTGTTAAAATCATGATTAAATAGAGAGATCATCAACAAGTATTTAAAAATATTCGTTTGAAAACTGTAAGCATTTTTTTGTCTTTCAACAGCCGGTTAAAAATTATCGAACATTTGTGGGGCCCCACAAATATTAGGAATGGTTATATTTATGGATATTTCAGCCGTCTGTGAACTGATTTTGATCAAACAAAGATGATTTTGTCATTTAAATAGTATATGTTCTTTCGAACTGGCCACTCAGTTTTTCATTATCTCACAAAGAAATTGAATAAGTTATGTTCTTGAATATTCCTTTTCATTTCCTTTACTCCTAACAGGTCAAATGACAAGATCAATACAAGAAAATAGATGCAAGAATCGTCAGAGTACGGTCGATGTCTCCAACTCTACCAATTCCGATGGAACAGAGAAGGTGATCGCGGTCGATGTCGATGTCAGAGCAAGTGATTACATCAGCAAACATGATCGCAAGGCTTTCTAAAATCAACGTAAAAGCAATTTCAGTAGCCTTTAACATAGCCTTTTGAAATGGGCGAACCTATTACTTCAACCGAACATAACAGGTAATACAACAGGATATTGAAATTTCCTTTGAACTGATTAATCTCTTTGCAAAAAGCAATTATCAGACTTTATCAAACTCTTTGCATGCATCAAGAAAATCTGATGTCATAGCTTAAGATTTACATGGAATTAAAACGAAAAAAACATTGCTATTATCCGTATATTCATATTAGACTTCCTAAACTAACGTTCTGCGTAATTCTACTCAGGCGACAGTGATGATTGTTCCGCGCTAAATATTCTTTACCAACCTAATTCTTTATCCCCAAGCCAGCCTAACCCCAACATTACACGCCAATGAATACCCGCATCAATTGCTCCGCAAACATTATCTTTCAACATTTCTTGCCAATGAACAATGCGAGATAAACTTATTTATAGTGACACAAAATGCCCTGAAGTTAAAGAATCTGGGTGGGGGTAGGAGGAGGAGGGTAGGAAAGAGAGAGAGAGAGAGAGAGGGAGGGAGAAAGAGAGAGAGAGAGAGAGAGAGAGAGGGGGGGAGGGGGCAACACTGTTTTTTGTTTTTCATTATCATTAATGAGATGGATGGATCATGTAAGCAATCTGTCTTTTATGTTTAAAGAGATGTTTATCATAATATACATAATCAGGACTGTAGTACTGAAATAAAAGTTGCAGCTTATTAAAATCATTTAGACCTGAAAGGGGTCGAAATTTAGTTAAAATTCTATTAATTTCATTTGAATTTATAAGCTAGAACATGACGCCATTCAATATTAATGGGTGACTTTAAGTCTATGAATGTTATTATAAGTTATGACATTTGGTATCCAGTATAATATTTAAAGTCGATGTATGGCGCGGCCCGGCCGCCGCCATTTCTAGGCCCTAGAAATGACAATAAATTGGATGTTCTGAACGGAGGGGATGGGGTGGGGGGCTACTCTCATATCCCACGTCTAGGGATAATCCCCCACCTTTTATTAATATCTGAATACGCCACTTTTTATACTCATTAGGGGGTGAAGGAGGGCGATGTTCCGCACTCTATGGAATGCTCTCCCTGCACATTTGAACTTCAAGTCTGTACAAGTAGAATATAATGGAAACCTCCTGACTGGGGCTGTCTTATTTTTAAGTAATTTGCTAGAAAATTGTATAATGTTTGATGTTTGATGAAATTTAGTATTTTTGACAGTTAGTTTATCATTTCGTTTTTGAAAAAAAAATTATTATATATATTTGCTTATTTATGATTCATTGTCAGAAAAATACTTATTGTATTTTATATTACTACTCGAAAAACATTGTATTTATATGAATGCAGAAGAAAATAAAATAAAATCAAATAAAATCAAATAAAATATGTGACTTTTGTGTGTGCGTGTGCGTGTGTGTGTGTGTGCATAACGGCGCGTTTAATGTTGATGTGGCTGCAGCGAGGTCGATAATAAATCAAAAGTCTGAACAAAGGCTTCTACAGGAATTCATAGCTTTAATTGGAGTAATCATGTCGTTCCAATTCATTCTGTGAAAACTGTGGATAAATCACAGATAAAGAATCATAAATACAAGTACATCATAGCATCATCAATATAGCAATAAACACAGTCTCTTTGAGAAACTTATAAAATAATGTACATTGTGTTATGATCTTCATAACTCATTAAAATAACCCCAGTCACTATTCTACTCCATATGTATTAAATGGCTTTACATAAATACAAATCACACTACAAGTGTCTCAACTAGACTTCACTATATCTTGAATAAACGATTAACTAAACAATTATAAATTCTGAATCTCTACTTACTGCTTCAGCACTCTCATAATAATCTTCAAAGTATTTAACAATATCTTCACTAGTTATCACTGTTCTTAATATAAAGTCAAATGTACATATATCATAACAGCATGGGCTTGCATGGCTTACATTACATTACATACTAACATCAACATCTCTTAGTATGAAGTACAAAATACACACACTAATTTACACTTTATGTTTCAACAATTCATAGAAATAGATTCAATATACAACAGAACTAACCTCTTTGCCTGACATAATGACAAACTTATATGCGCTGGCAAAAAGGGGATCCTTGGACCTCAACACAACCATGTTAATGTAGCCTTCTGAGAGTTTGATATCAAGAGGTTATCAATATGTGGCGCTATACGCACTTTGCCTGAGGAAGTGGTATTACAAATATATGTGTATTCATGTCATGCATCAATAATACAAGAAACAAATGACTTGGGTGATAACGTATTTAAGTGCAACTGTCACAACAGTTTAAGTATCATCCCATATAGAGAGAGAGAGTGAGAGAGAGAAAGAGAGAGAGAGAGAGAGAGCTAAAAAGATAGAGGAAGATAGAAAAAGAGAGAGAGAGATATACTGCAACAATAAACTAGTTTAGGTCATCTAATGTATTTCAGTTCATTGGAACTTAACGGCAGAGGGCGCCCCTATTAATCTGTTTACTTTACAGTTCATTGCCATCTATATAGACAGCATCTACCGTTTAATGTAGGCTAAGTGTTAGTAGGCCTTCTAAACCTCGGGGGAAGTCTTTAAGTCATTTTTTAATGTATGCACGCATGATATCAGTGAATATGTTTTAACGTGATTGCTGATGAACTGCCAAATGTATAGAGAGCAAAGTTTCGTTATTATAATAAAGACAAAATAGAATCAATAGGACAAGAAATTAATACATTTAAGAGTCATATAAGCATTGCTTAATTAATTCAATTATGGATTCATATTTACCTGTAGTGGGTATTTTTCGGGTAGGTGTTATGTCGCTGAGAAGTAAAAAACTGAAGTATGATAGTATAATACTCTTTTATTTCATTTTCAAGTCTAAGGTTGGTTGGTTCCAGTTCATTTAAATCTTTTAGGACAAGGTTTTATGAGGATTATATTGAAGATAAATAGTTCTTCAAATTGACAAGACTATCAGTTTCTTTTATTTCTACATTGGAATCTCTGAAATCAATTAATAGACAAACGCAAAAAGACTTTGTCGAAAATTTGAAACAACGGCTTACTTTGATTGAAAAACAATGTCAGACAAGCTTCAATTAAAATTCCCCTCTTCAGAATGTATTTTACAAAGGCATGTTTTTCACCCGCGTTCCAAAGATCTCTTACATTAACCATAATAATTTACTTTTAATGATAACAAAGCTGCGTAAAGAACGTAAAAATATCATTTCAAGGTGTTATTTGAGATCCAGCCTTCATATCATAGGAAAATGATACTTGAGGTTGTGGTGGAGGTGTGTGTGTGGGCCAGGGGCGTACGCAGGGGGGGGGGGGGGGGGGGGGGGGTTGGGGGGTTGAACCCCCCTTTTGGTATTTTAATATGTGTAAACCCCCCTTAAACCCCCCTTAAACCCCCCCCCCCCCCCTTTGGTTTTTTTTTATTTTTTTTTACTTATTTATTTTTTATTATTAAAAAAAAAAAAAAAAAAAATTATGCCCATGGCTGACCTAAAAAAGGAAACCTTACCCCCCCCCCAACGAAAAAAAAATGTCAAATTTCCAAATTTGGAGACCCCCCCCCCCCCCCCCCCCCCAAAAAAAAAAAAAAAAAAAAAAAAGGATCCTATTACTAACGTTTAAAGTTTACAGATAGGACATACGTGACATATTCAAAATTCCTGCAAAGTTCTACAGAATTGGATGTTGGCTGCAAAGTGGACATAGTACCTTTACAAATTATTTTTAGGTACCCCCTCCAACCTAAAGAAGAAAAAACATGATGAAGAAGAGAAGAGAGAAGGCACCATTGAAAACTACAATGGCATAAAGTTAAAGGTAATACAAAGTTTTGGGTAATTTTGAAAATTGGGTGGATAGTGAATCTTTACAATTTTGATATATTTGGATGCCCATGTGGATGTATTATAATCACTGAAAAAATTAACCCCTAAAACACTTCTGTTTTCGAGAAAAATTGAATATAAAAATTTACCGGTGCTCCCGGTAAATTTTGATAAATTTCAAATAGCGCCTACGGCCGTACAATGGTAGCTGCGACCATGAACATCTCAGAATATGTAGTTGTGATATATAATTTCCAAACGGGAATAGCTATCGGTCGATTTTAGTCAAGAAACATTGTTTCATAGCTAATTTAATATCTTGACCTTGAGAGGGAGCTATACAACATACAGAGTTTATTATTTATAATTTCATATCTTTAGACTCCATTTCAACCGGGACAACGATCAATGAGTATTGTAGGAACGCATATGCTTCCAATATGTTGATTTGAACCAAATTCATGATCCCATACCAAAACTTTGTAATACCTTTAAGACATACCTTTAAGACAGAGTATCACTAACCCGAACATTCTCATACTTCTATCAAAGTTGTTCGGCAGAAATTATTAGGTTGTTACTTACAAACAGTCCGTCTCAATCGGTTGGAGTCAGTAAGATTTGGTAGTTGTTTATATCGAATTCACATCTCTATTAAACAAAAATTTACTTTTGATCTGTAAATCAGAGTAGCTCTTAATCCATCAGTAAATCAAAGTGAACCATATGAAAAGCTTATACCAACAGCTCTACGATGCGACGGGTTGGGGTGTGGTGGTCGCAGCTCCCCCTCCCCGCCCTAAAAATTTGAAATATGCCTATCAACATTATTAATATTTATTGTCTATATTTAGACAGCGAGATCCAAGCACGAGTTATACCTTCAGATTTTTTACAGATGATTAAATAACACTAAAGTGTTTTTTTCCCGGCTCAATCGCAAAGTTCATGAGCTGGAACATTTCAAATTCAGGCAAAAGGTGTTAGCACCCTTGCGAAAAATGTGCCTGTACACCTGTTTGATTCTGGGGAAGTCTAACGAATCTTATTATGTAGGTTACCTAGTTTGCAGGCACAAACTCTTGTCATCGAGCAAAGAGTGTCTGCAAAATTAG